AGGAGAGGAGAGGAGAGGAGAGGAGAGGAGAGGAGAGGGGAGGAGAGGAGAGGAGAGGAGAGGAGAGGAGAGGAGAGGAGAGGAGAAGAGAGGAGAGGAGAGGAGAGGAGAGGAGAGGAGAGGAGAGGAGAGGAGAGGAGAGGAGAGGAGAGGAGACGCGCGGCACCGCCTCTTCAAGACAAAAACCCAACACCAAAGGATGTTTGGGGAAAAAAATGCAGTCGGGTAATTCCAGCAGGGACGCGCGTCGGCGCGAAGGCATCGGAGTCGCCAGGCTGCGCCGCGCGACCGTCCAGGCAGCGATCGATATCTGGGGGGCACGCCGTGATCGCTTGTGTTCAGAACCTCTCAGTGGCCTCCTGCAGGAGCCAACTTTCTCGAGTTCCGCCAGGACTTCGCGGAAATCCCTGCCCCCGTTCACCGCCCTCTGTTCCAGGACATCCTCCAGCAACGCCACGCAGGGTTTGCGATGTCGGATGTATTGCGCGACGGCGTAGAACACCTGGCTGCGCTTGTCCTTGAAGCCCTTGCGCTCTCCTGCGTTGCTGCTTCCTTGGCAAGGCCACCCGACAATGTAGAGTTCGCACCCGGGCGCCTTCGCTATGTCGCACTTGATCATGTCCTCGTACAGCACGCGTGCCAAACCAGCAGTGCAATGTTTGCCCACTCGTCGATGTCCCTCGAGAAGATGTACTCGAAAGGGACCCCGGAGTTCTCCACGGCCTGGATCGGCGCATCCAGACCCGAGCGATCCGTGCCCGACCCTCAGCGGGCGCAGTGCAGCATGCCCGGCCTCGTCGGCGCCATCAGCGGCGGGCGGCGGCGGGCCCCCGCCCAACGGCGGCGTCTCGTCGCAACCACCAGCGCGAAAGGTCCGTCGCCAAAAATTGGCCGCCTGCCCCAGGCTATCCGGCCCTGAGGGCGCGTCGCGCGCACGCTCCGCGCTGGACCGTTTGACGCGCGCTGCGTTGGCACGCAACTGGCGGCGAGGCTTCCGCGCGCAAGCGCGCGGGGGCGACATGGCAGACGCCGAACGCTAGAGCGATCGGGGCGCGCTTGCCCACCCTCGAGCCCGTCGTGCGTTTCACAACTAGCGCGTCAGGCTTACACCAGCCAGGCCCCTCGCAGTCCACACGGCCCCCCACGCGAGGTTTCGGTCTCTCAGAGCGTCTTGTGATCTGCTTTTCTTTCGCATTGCGTGTCATTCGGGATCGGAACCATTCTGGGGCCCCGAAGACTCCCAAACCCGAGTCAAGCCTGCATTTTCGCATTTTCGTGCAATGCCCGCTGATTCGCCGTCGATTGAAATCTCCCCGGGGCTCGAGAAGATTCAAAATTGAACCGATCAAGCCTGCACGTTCGCATTGAACGCAATGTTTTCGAGGGGTCGAGCTGCGATTGATAAGCGCCAGCACGAGGGGCTCACCCCGCTGCGCACGAGAGATGCCCACTGGCCACGCGCTGACATAGGCGCCCGCGCAGGCGCCAAGCGCCATTGCAATGATTTCCACGAGACCCGTTTCTCATCGCAGAATTGGCCCTGCAAGTCGTAAGCCGAGTGCGCCAAGCCAGCCGAGGGGGGGGCGGTCGCCTGCACCCGCCGCGCATGCGACTCAGGGCGGGGGGCGCGCCGCCCGAGGCCAACAGCACGATGGGGACCAGCGCGGGCACGTCAGGAGCCAGTTTCTGCCCAAGAGGGGAGTGACGTCACCTGAGGCCTGCAGCCCAATGAGAGAAGTCGGTGAATGGCCTGGAGCGGCAGCGGGGGGGTGTCCAGCTCCCGCTCTGCGCCGAGGGCGAAGCGGGGGGATACGTGGGAGCGTCGGAGAATGCCGCGTACTCTGGTAGGGCGCAGCTAACAGCCGCAGAAAGATTAAGATAGGGTTCGCCTGAGACATATTGCTGCGCTGGCATTGGGCAACCTGAGTCACCACGCTGCTCAGTTCGAATCCAAACGTCAGCCGCAGGACGGAAGGGGGCCACTCCGCCTGCAGCGCGCCGGTTCTCTGGCAGGGCGCAGCTGACAGCAGCAGAAAGATTGGAATTCGGTGCGCTTGAGACGCGCAGCTGCACTGGCACTGGGCAACCTGGGGCGCCAGGCTGCTCAGTCGGACTCCAGATGTCAGCCGCGGGACGGAGGGGGTCACTCCGCCTGCAGTCTACCGGTTCTCTGGCAGGGTGAAGCTAACAGCCGCAGAATGATTGGGATCCACACTGCTGCGCTGGCACGGGGCAGCTGTGCTCAGCAACGCCCCCGTTGCGTTCAGGATCGGAGGCGGGCCCCCGATGTGCCCAGAACTGCGCGAAAGGGGCAGTCGCCCGAAACAGACAGGGGGGCGCGGAGAGGCCGGCGGGGGGCAGCTGTCGGCTGCCCACGACTGGAGGCGGGGAGGGCGGGGATCACACCTCCGCATTACCAGGCCGATCTACTTTGACTTCTTCTCTCCAAGGGGCGCGCCTGCCGCCGTAGCCCACGCGCAGGCCCGCGAAGTGCGAGGCGATATCCACGGAGAACCACGTTACCTGATAGTATAGCCTTCCACGGAAACTTAAACGTAGATGTGACCATGTGGAACTTCAATGAGAGCGCACCCACTCTGTTCTATTCCTGCGTCGATGTGTGTCCTAAGAGGTACTATATCCTCCCACGTGAGAAAAAGCTTCTGGCGCTCCGCAACCTCCTGCTTAGCCTTCTTGACCACTACCAGACACCGCCCGCTCATCTCAATGCCACCCAAGCGCTTGAGATGTGGAAAGAAGCACAACTGCTGCAGCACAAATGCTACACGGAACAGAGCAGGCACACCAGGATGCGGGGTGAGAACGGTAGCTACTTGAGAAGGGTGGTTCTGCCGTGCTGGGTTGCAGCTACAGCAGCGCACGACGCCCCGCAGCACGGACGGGGGGCAGAGAGCCGTTGAGCGGGGGGGGGGGGGGGGGGCCAAAGCCAGCAGCGACCCACCCTGCGGAGGGGGCAGTAGGCGGGCGCGGCGGCCTGGCACGGGCAAAAAACGAAAGGGCCTGGTGCTCAGGTAATTAGGGCGCAGCTAACAGCCGCAGGAAAAGGGAACAATGGTTTCGCCTGAGAACGCGTGGGAAACGGGCGGGGATACTTTCAGCTCGCAACGACGCAGGCAGCTGCGCGCCGCCAAAGAAGTCGCGAAGCGGAAAAAGGGCCGGGCCACAACGCGGACAGAGCAGGTGGGGCGAAGACAGACAGGAGGCGAAAGAGAAAGGACAAAGAAGAGAAGGGCGCGGCGAAAGAAACACGGCGGAGAAGGACAAACGCGCCGCAGCGCAGGCTCAGGCAACGCCGAAGAGGAAGCCCCTTGCCGAGTAGTCGGAACTTGTAGTATGGCGTCATGTCCGCCGAGGAGCACTGGGGGTGGTAACGAGATGACCACTGACGCGGACCGTCAACGCAAGAGCCGTCACATCCCACGGGCCATCTCCAGGGCCGTGCAGTCAATCCGCATGGCCGACGGCATCCAGGAGCCACAGGGGCAGGGGCACACCCCGGTGGCGACGAGACGACAGGGCCGATAGGGCAGCCCAGTGTCGACAATGATGTACCAAGCCAGCCGGGGGGGGTGAGCGCTTGTGCCTGCCGCGCATGCGACTCAGGGCGGGGGGTGCGCCGCCTGAAGCCAACAGCACGATGGGGACCAGCGCGGGCACGACAGGAGCCAGTTTCTGTGGGGGGGGGGGTCACGTCGCCTGGGAAGGCGTATGCTCTGGCAGGGTGCAGCTGACAGCCGCAGAAAGATTGGGAAGGGTTCGCCTGAGACATACTGCTGCGCTGGCATTGGGCAACCTGGGTCACCCCGCTGCACAATACGAATCCAAACGTCAGACGCAGGTTGGAGGGGGGTCACTCCGCCTGCAGCGTGCCGGTACTCTGATAGGGCGCAGCTGGCAGCCGCAGCCAGATTGGAACTGTTCTGGTAGGGTGCAGCTAACAGCCGCAGAGAGGTTGAGAAGGGTTCGGCTGAGACATGTCCCTGCGCTGGCATTGGGCACAGTCACAACGCTGCCCAATTCGAATCGAAAGGTCAGCCGCAGGACGGAGAGGGGTCACTCCGCCTGCGTTGCGCTGGTTCTCTGGCAGGGTGCAGCTGACAGCCGCAGAAAGATTGGAATTTTTCTGGCAGGCTGCGGCTAACAGCCGCAGGAAGATTGAACAGGGCTCGCCTGAAACATTCTGCTGGGCTGGCATTGGGCACGGCAACCGCGCTGGTCAATTCGACTCCAAACGTCAGGCGCGGGCCGGGGGGGGTCACTCCGCCTGCACTGCGCCGGGTCTCTGGCGGGGTGTAGCAGACAGACGGAGAGGCAGGCGGGGGGCAGCTGTCGGCTGCCCACGACCAGGGGCGGGGAGGGTGGGGATCACACCTCCGCATTACCAGGCCGATCTATGTTGACTACTTCTCTCCAAGGGGTGCGCCTGCCACCATAGTCCACACGCAGGCATGCGAACTGCGAAACGATGTCCACGGAGAACCACGTGACCTGATAGTATAGCCTTCCACGGATACTTGACCGTAGCTGTGACCATATCTGGAACTTCACTGAAAGTGCACCCACTCTATTGTATTGCAGCGCCGATGTGTGTTCAAGGGGTACTATATCCTCCCACGAGAGAGAGAGAGCTTCTGGCGCTGTGCAACCTCCTGATTAGCCTCCTTGACCACAATCGGACACTGCCCGCTCACCTAATGCCGCGCAGGCGCGCAGGATATGGAAAGAAGCACAACTGCTGAAGCACAAATGCTAGACGGGCAAGGGCAGGCACAGCAGGGGGCGTGGTGAGAACGGTGGCCACTTCACTGGGGTGGTTCAGCTGTGCTGGGTTGCAGCTACAGCAGCGAGGTGGGGGGCAAAAACCACGAACGACACCCCAAAGCACGGACGGGGGCCGAGACCGTTGAGCGGGGGGGGGCACCGCCGCCACCAGCGACCCACCCTGCGGAAGTGGCAGTAGGCGGGCGCGGAAGCCTGGAGACGGCCAGGAACGACGGGGCCTGGTGCTCTGGTAGGGTGCAGCTAACAGCCGCAAGCAAGGGGAACAAAAGCTTCGCCTGAGACAGGGCAGGGCCGGTTCTCTGGTAGGGCGCAGCTGACAGCCGCAGTAAGATTGGTATTGCTCTGGTAGGGTGCAGCTAACAGCCGCAGAAAGATGGAGTAGGGTCTGCCTGAGACATTTGCAGCACTGGCCTTGGGGATAGTCACCACGTTGCTCGGTTCGAATCTAAACGTCAGCCGCGGGACGGAGGCGGGTCACTCCGCCTGCAGTCTGCCGGGCCTCTGGTAGGGTGCAGCTGACAGCCGCAGAACGATTGGGATGGGATCCGCCCGAGGCATATTGCTGCGCCGGCACGGGGCAGCTGTGCTCAGCGGCGCCCCCGCTGTTGTGTTCCGGATCGGAGGTGGGTCCCCGATGCGCCCAGAACAGCGTGACACCTGCGCCTCCAGTAACGTGGACGGAGTGCTCACGGTCGCGGAAAGAAGGGGGGTAGCTTGCCAGCGAGGCGTCCAGAATTTCGATAACCTCAATATCTTATCCTCGCAAGGCTGCAGGCGCTGCCGAAGGTATGGATCGTGAACCGATCAAGAGATTCATAATGCAGCGATCCTGTCACGTCTGGAGATTATTGGCGTTCAGCCTCAACTCTGAATTGATCCCCAAAAATTCTCGCAAGCACCCACAGCCACGATGGAACATCCGACCATGTTTTAGTTTGAGACCGTCCGTGTCAGCATGCAGCATGTTCATGGCCATCCTTCCCACCTCAACACCATTTTTCTCTCTACTACTGAATACCTGCACGCACTGGAGCACGTCCAGCGTCTTCGCACTGGACACTCGAGCACGGGAATGATTGAGGGCGTGACCACAGGTGCCCCGCTTCCCCCATGACAACACGGCCCACCAGGGAGTACGGAGGAGGGAGTTCTGGATTCCTGAGCCTGGTCCAAACTGCTCCTGAGCTGCCTGCCTCGTCCACACGGCGCCACACACGAGGCAAAACATCGTCCAGGGGGTCTCTCGAGCCGTCCGCCAGCAAGACCTGCACCCCTGGGTGGAATTTCCTGGCGAACATGAAACTGTGGTCGGCCAGATCATTGAGGTAGTCCATTTCAATCGCCGTTCTGAATTCGTACGGTAACGAGTTCATGGGCCTGTGCAGTGGATTGTTCATATGTCGTGCCCTGCGTAGTACTGCATCATATAGACCGGTGCAGACTGCAAAATGCGTGCAACAAACTTCCACTGGTTATCTCTATTCAGCTTGTGGCCGACAAAGCAGCCATGCCAATGGACAAAAGTCAAGCACTTCTGTTCTACTCCAGTAAGCTTGAGGTCCTCAAAGTAGTCACCACTGCTCTGGCCTTTTGCATGCATATCGACCAGCAGCGAAGCCAGAGGAGTGGCTTCACAGCTGCAGCCATAGCCTGCTTGAGCCCAGTCTGGAACTGCCTGCCGCCATGCATTGTAGTACCTGTGATGGCTTTCCAACCCACGCCGCACAAATGTTGCTGCATGTTCTCTGGACAGGACGGCCCACTGGTGATGATGTCGAACCAGCGGCTCATATCTTGAGTAGAAGTCCCTGAAGACGCACCCAGTACTTCCATCAAACTTCATTTGCTCGCCAATCGTTCTGTACTGAGCCGTCTCGGCAAGGCAAACCTTGCTAGTCTTGGGCGACAGCTCCACCAGCTCGTGGTAGACGTAAGCGAAGGACTTCAGGGGGATGCATGAGTCAGACAACAATGCGAATTGGGCATTATTGGGGTCCTGTAACATCATTTGTAGGGCGCCTGCCTCCAAGCCAGCAAGCGCACACCAGGTACCATTGATGAAAGGAAGCGTCTGGGCTCCATACTCTGCCAGTGGCTGGTACACATATTGTTTTGTTGCATCGTTTCGAGATTCGTGTACATAGATAGAGTACCGGTCCCTGGGCGCGTCCCTGAAGAACGACTTCCATATGTTCAGATTGTGAAGCTTCTGCTTCGTCAGGAAGAGAAAGGCGACCTTCGGGGCGAACTGAACGGCGGCGGGCGGAACCTCCAGATGTTGGACTATCTGCATCACACCTCGGTCGATCTGCGTCTTCTCCTCTATGTATGCCTCTCTCGCTGCAGAGACGTGGCCTCCGAGAGACAGGTCCTTGTCCGAGTCCTGACCCTGCAGAATCCAGAAGACGGCCGCGCACACAAGCCCAGAGACCGCCAAAACGCGCCCGCCCCGTTCCATGGCAACCAACAGCAGCAAAGACACACATGGACCTTCTGGACTCGGGTGCGTCAAAACTGCCAGAGACTAGCGGCTCGCGACGGGGAGAAACGCGCGTAAGAGGAAGAGGAAAAAAATGATACGGACGAGGAGAAAAGATAGCAGGAGATCAAGAAGGCACATGACACATGCCGCACGCGCGCCGTGCGTCCCCGCCGCCCCTCGCCCCCACGACACACTGCACGCAAGCCGTACATCCCTCTCTCCCGTCGCTCCCATAACCCTGCGCGCGCGCAACCGCTCACGCAGGCGCCTGAGCAGGCGCGCGTGCATGCTCGCACGCTCGCATCAGAGGAACCACAGCAACCGCAGGCAACCACTAAGCTCGGAGAAGCAACCACTAATCCCGATTTCCGCGCGCGACGCGAGCTCTGGTGAGCTCTCAGTGGGGGGGGGCGCTTGGGCCCCCCCCTCCGCGCGATCCCTGGCTAATCGTCTGTGGGGGGGGGGCTCGCGCGGCAGCAGCAGCAACGGCAGCAGCAGCAGGAGTGGGGGGAGGAAAAGAGGCAGATGACGTCGAAGAGGGGAAGGAGGAGGAGGAGGAAGGAGAGGAGTAGGGGAGCAATGGGGAGGAGGCGGGGCCGGCGCGGCAGACCGGCGCGGCAGACCAGCGCGGCACGCCAGCGCGGAATTCTTTGGCGTGCTCAACCAGACGTTCTCTGACAAGACTTGTGGACAAAGCGGCGTTTCCCGTTCTTGTCCGGTCAGGTTCCCCTCAAAATGGCCGTTTCGCAAGAGACATCCTCTGCAAAAGTGAGATGTTGAAGCCGTGTATTTAAGACGTCTTGCGTTAAAAATGAAGCGATCGCTCGAGACATCCTCGGAAAATGAGGTACAGAGGTCGCTCGCGAAATTCAGCGAGTCGTAGGAAATTGCCGTTTCGTCTGAGACATCCTCAAAACATTGAGATGTTGAGTCCGTGTGGTTAAGACGTCTTTCGTTTGAATTCAGGCTATCGTTTGAGACATCCTCGGACAACGGCACTCGCAGCATCGTAGCTCGAGGTCTTGTCTCCTCCGTATTTTCCGTCTCCTCCGTCTCTGAGTTTCTTCCATCTCTGAGGTCTCCGTCTCCTCCGTCTCTGAGGTCTCCTCCGTCTCTGAGGTCTCCTCCGTCTCTTCTCCGTCTCTTCCGTCTCCTTCGTCATCCTCCTCCTTTTCCTCCTCCTCCTCCTCCTCCTCCTCTTTCTCCTTCTCCTCCTCCTCCTCCTCTTCATTCTCTTCCGCCTTCGTCGCGCGCGCGCGCCGTGCATCCCGCCCGCCCGTCGCCCCCAAAACACATCCCGCACGCGCTTCGCGCGTCCCCCCCGCCCGTCGCCCCCGTAACACATCCCACGCGCGCGCCGCGTACACCCCCCGCCCGTCGCCCCCATAACACAACCCCGCGCACACGCGCGCACGCAACCGCTCACACAGGCACATACACAGGCCCGCGCACATACACGCACGCTCGCACCAGAGTAACCACAGGCAACCACTAAGCTCGGAAAAGCAACCACTAATCCCGCTCTCCGCGCGCGACGCGAGTTCTGGCGAGCTCTCTGCTGGGAAGGCGCTCGGCCCCCCACCCCGCGCGCGATCCCTGGCTAACCGTTTGCTGGGGGTGGGGCTGGTGCGGCAGCAGCAGCAGCAACGGGAGGACAAGAGTGGGGGAGGAGAAGAGGCGGGGGAGGAGCAGCAGCAGGAGGAGGGGGGGGAGGAAAAGAGGCAGATGACGTCGAAGAAGGGAAGGAGGAGGAGGAGGAGGAGGAGGAATGAGGAGAGGAGGAGAAGGATGTGGCGGAGGCAATGCTGGCGCGGCAGACCGGCACGGCAGACCAGCGCGGCACGCCAGCGCGGAGTTCTTTGGCGTGCTCAACCAGACGTTATCCGACAAGCCTAGTGGACAAAGCTGCGCTTCCCGTTCTCGTCTTGTCAGGTTGTGAAGATCGACGTCCCACGCGCTTCAGGGGTCGGCGGATTTCCAATGGTATTGTGAATGTGGCGCGCGATGCTGAATACCACCTTTTGCCCAATTTTGCAGTGTTGCTTGTCGGTTTGTTTTCCCTCGCTGATCATTTTTGGGCCGCGCGAGATTCTGAACTTTGAAAGGCATCCTGCGCCCGTCACCCTCTGCAAACAGGCTCTTACATGATGATGCTGATAGTGATGGTGGTGATGATGATGATGATGATGATGATGATGATGATGATGATGCTGATACTGATGTTGATGGTGATGCTGATGTTGATGCTGATGGTGATGGTGGTGATGCTGATGATATTGCCGATTATGAAGGTGCTGAGGATGATGATGATGATGCTGGTGATGATGCTGATGATGCTGATGCCGACGACGATGATGGTGAAGGTGCATATGATGATGATGCTGTTGGTTATTATGATGATGATGATGATGATGATGATGATGATGATGATGCTGATGATGATGATGATGATGATGATGGTGATGCTGCGGATGATGATGATGAAGATGATGATGATGATGATGATGATGATGATGATGATGATGATGATGATGATGATGATGATGATGATGCGGATGATGCTGATGATGATGCCGATGTTGATGATCGTGACGATGACAAGGCTGATAATGTTGCTGCTGATGATCATGCTGCTGCTGCTGCTGGTGTTGATGCCGGTGACGATGATGATGCGGATGCCGCTGATGATGATGATTGTCATGGCCACTATTATGATGATGATGCTGATGCTGATGCTGATGCTGGTGCTGATGCTGCTGCTTCTGCTGACGATGCTGATGCTGATGCTGGTGATGATGGTGATAATGATGATGCTGATGCTGATCTGGATGCTTATGCGGAAGGAGATGATGATCACGATGATGATGGTGGTGATGATGAGGATGATGGGTGTGGTAGTTGTCGCGATGCTGATGATGGGTTCATTGTACATTATGATGATGTCATGAAGTTGATGGGTACGATGGTGGTGTCAATAGTGATGGTGCTAATGCAGCTGATGCTCATGTTGGTGATGGTGATGGCGATGCTGATGCTGGTGTTGGTGAGGGTGATGGGGAGGATGACGCGACGCGGGGGAGTAAGCCATTTGTTGTTGACCACCTCGTGCTTTCCTGCGCCGCTTTTGCACGCCCTTGTGCGTCCCACATGGGTTCAAATGTCCCTTGGAACCCCTGGATGGTTTCAGGATGGTGACGGGAGGTGGGCGCGGTGTTGAAGATTCATTTCGGAGAGACGTGTATAGGACAGAGCCGCCATCAACAGCAGGAGCACCATCGCTAGTAGAAGGGGAAACAACACACTGAATAGTAAGGGAAAGAGGCTCGATCGGAGAAGGAGGAGGTGGAGGAGCAGTCGGAGTACGAGGAGGATGAGGAGGATGTACTGGTAGATGGTAGAGGAGGGGGATTATGAGTAGAAGGAGGATGAGGAGGAGGAGGAGGAGGAGGAGGGGGAGGGGGAGGCGGAGGAATACGAGGAGGAGGAGGATGAGGAGGAGGAGGACGAGGAGGGGGAGGAGGAGAAGGAGGAGGAGGAGGAGAAGAAAAAGGAGCAGGAGGAGAAGGAGGACGAGAAAGACGAGGAGGACCAGTATGAAGAGGAGGAGGAGGAGGAGGGGGAGAAGGACTAAGGCCACATGATAACCTAAGGTCGGTCTATCGTAAAATGAGGAGGAGAAGGAGGAGGAAGCGGAGGAGGAGGACGAGGATGAGGAGGACGAGGATGGGGAGGGGCAGGAGGAGGAGGAGGAATTGGAGGAGTTGGAGTTGGAGGATGAGGATGAGGATGAGGATGAGGATGAGGATGAGGATGAGGATGAGGATGAGGATGAGGATGAGGATGAGAATGAGGAGGAGATGATGATGATGATGATGATGGTGGTGATGATGATGATGATGATGATGATGCTGTTGATGATGATGGTGATGATGATGATGATGATGGGCATGATAATGATGATGATGCTGATGATGATGCTGATGACGATGAGGATGATGATGATGATGCTGATGATGCTGATGCTGCTGATAGTGGTGGTGATGATGATGATAATGTTGGTGGTGGTGATGATACTGATGATGATGCTGATGATGCTGCTGATGATGGTGCTGATGATGATGCTGCTGATAGTGATGATATTGATGATGGTGATGATGGTGATGATGATGCTGATGTTGATGACGATGACGATGGCGATGGCGATGCTGATGATGATAATGATGATGATGCGTATGATGATGCCGATGGTGATGACTAGATTGCTGATGATGGAGATGATGTTGGCGATGATGATGATGATGATGATGATGATGATGATGATGTTGTTGATGATGAGGCTGATGCTATTGATGATGACTATGTCGATGATGATGATGTTGAAGTTGATGATGACGATGATGCTGCTGATGATGATGATTGAGATGATGATGATGCTGATGCTGATGGCGACTGTGATGGTGTTGATAATGATGCTGATGATGATGCTGATGATGGTGGTAACTGTGATGTTGAGTATGATGATGTCGATGATGGTGTTGCTGATGATGATGATGGTGAAGATGATGCTGATGATGATGATGAAGATGGTGTCGATGATGATTCTGCTGATGATGATGATGATGCTGATGCTGGTGATGACGCATAATATTATGATGATGACGATGCTGACGATGATGACAAGGATGACGATGTTGATGGTGATGATGCTGACGATGGTGATGATCTTGATGACGATGATGCGGAGTGATGTTACTGATGTTGTTGATGATGATACTAAGGATGATGATGATGACGATGACGATGACGATGACGATGACGATGATGGTGATGTTGCTACTGATGATGATGATGAGGATGACGATGACGATGGCGATGATCATGATGATGATGCTGATGATGATGTTGATGCTGATGCCGATGATGATGATGATGATGATGACGCTGATGATGATGATGATAATAATGATGATGATGATGATGATGATGATGCTGATGATGATGATGATGGTGGTGATGGGATGGTGATGGTGATGGTGATGGTGATGGTGATGGTGATGGTGATGGTGATGGTGATGGTGATGGTGATGGTGATG